GGGCCTGCTGGGCTCGGACCGCGGCGTCTGGTGCTTCTCCTCATCCCTGAGCGACGGGTTCAGCTGCTTTCTGCCTAGCTGGGGTGCCTGCGCTGCCCCCGAGGCCGGGGCTCAGGCAGCCCCGGGGCGCTACCAGGGGATGCGGGGAGGAAGAGGAGGAGCCTGTGTCCCATCTGAAAGGTCTGCGCGTGCATATGCGTCAGGGTGTGCACGTACAAGCACATATGAGTGTGTGCATGTGTACGTGCGCGTGCACGGTAAGCGAGGCCGGGCGCGTGTGTGTGTGCGTGCACGTACGTGCACGCGGGTGTTTCTGTGTGGGTGCATGCAGAACAGGGGAGAGAAAACCAGCCAGGAACTAAAACTGTGGCAACTTTTAACATCTGTCCTTTTTCTGTCCTTTTCCCCTGCTCCTTGCAGGGGTCCTACCTGGCGGCGAGCAGGCAGTCCCTGGCTCTCTGTGCGCCCAGGACAGAGCAGCCTGGGATGGCAGCGCTGGGGGGACCTGCTGGCCACCGGCGACGTCTCGCTGTGCCGTGGCTGGCAAAGCTCATGGCCCATGTGATGTTTATTCTCCTTGCTCCCAGCTGGGGAAACTGAGGTGGGGGCCAGTCCTGTCCTTGAGGAGGGCGAAGGGCTGTTCACGTTAGCAGCCCCCACAGAGGGGTCGGGCAGGGGCAGTAGCCTCTCCGCACAGCCCTGCGCTCATGGGAAGTTTTGAGGCTCCTGGACGCCTCAGATACCCTCCCATCTCCCCCTGCCCTCCATCGCCTGCCAAAAAACAACTAGAGCCACGCTGGGTTGGAAACGGCTTTATCCAGACAAGCTGCATCTGTGGGGCAGGCAGCATGCAGCTTCCGTGGTCCCACGGTGCCCACTCAGGGCTCCACGGTGCCCACGCTGCACCTGTCCTGTCCCATCCCACCCGCCACCCCGGATCCAGGGCTTGGCCTGGTCACGAGGCCGCCTGCCAGCTCTCCCGCAGGCTGGCCTTCACCTGAAACTTCTGCACCTGCAGCACGACGCCAAACTTGCCCTCCAGCGAGGGCAGGGGCTGGTCCTGGGGGCACTCCAGCGTGAACCTCTGCAGCACCCACGCCAGGAAAAGGAAGAGCTCCATCTTGGCCAGGACTTCACCCAGGCACACACGGATCCCAGCCCCAAAGGGCAGGTAGCTGGGCGAAGGCGAGTGGATGTGCTGGCCCTGCTCGTCCAGGAAGCGGCCTGCCAGGGGAGAGGCGCTACTGGAGTTAGCAGGGATCTGCCCCCTCTACCTGAGATCTGCCCAAATTCATCTCACACATGTCCCTCCCACAAGCTGCAAGAATGGCCATCCTGGAGCAGTGGTGGCACAAGTTCCCCAGCCGGGGGAAAGCGGGTCTGACGTCCCACCACCAGGCATCTCCTGGGCTCAGCCTGGCTCCTCTCCTATTATTTCCCCCCTGCCACCCGCCACAGGCAGAGAGCACACAACCCACCGGGGTTGAACTCCTCGGGCTTGTCCCACTCCTTCTCATCGTGGTGCACGGACCAGAGGTTGATGACGACCCTGGTGCCCTTGGGGATGGAGTATTCCCCGATGCTGTAGGGTGAAGACAGAGTGAGAGGGTCAGTCCCTCCCGCCCAGGTCTGTGTCTCCGCGCACATCCCAGCTGCGCCCCGGGCGGTCTCACCTGGTGTCAGCAAGGGACACGTGTGGGATGAGCAGGGGGGACACGGGCCGGATGCGCAGCACTTCACTGATGGTGGCCTCCAGGTAGGGCAGCAGCGGGCGGTCGCTGAGGTGGGGGTGACGTGCCAGGCCAATTTTCTGGTCCATCTCCTCCTGGATCTTTCTCTGGACCTGAGAGGGGCCAAGGGCAGGGCATGAGCCTGGAGAAGGGGTTTCCATGTGCATGAGGACTCCCCACGGCAATGGGGTCCACCCAGTACCGCCAGCACATCCCAGGTGGCCATCAGGGCAGAAACAGAGCGCTCACAGCCTGATCCCGCTT